GGATAGATTTCCTGTGGCTAGGTTGTCTTCTACAACATGGAGTTGTTGACTCCATGCTCAACCCTTTTCCTTTAAGCGGGCTTGGGGCTGGCAGTTGAGAAGGTCATTAGTAAAAGACGTTGAGGAAATCATCGAACTGCATCACGCGGCATGCGCTAACTTGAAACTCTGAAGGAAAACGGATAAAATGAATAACAAGGAACACAGTGAGTCGCATATCGGTAACAGACATCAAAAGAATGGAAGACCACTTAAAACAACTGGAAAGTGTCGCCTAGAACACAGTCTTACGAAGAATGCTGGTGGATGGACCATGCTCTTCCATGAGGGGTAACAGGCGTAAGTAAGTAAATAAATAAATGAAAAACTAGTCCTTTAATCTTCACCATCAACATCCAGATTATAATAAGAAATAATATTAACATTCGGAAACATAACACTAAAAATTTGATTAAACTTCTAATTAAAATTTCTATTCATTTCGGTCAGTTATCAGAAAAGTGTTTTAACACTACTTATTTTTTCCGATAGATTAGCATTATCCTTTGATATATTCCTATAAATATTTCAATTTGAAATTAAAGCTGATTTTTTTTATTTGGCAATTCAACCAAAAAGAAAGAAAATTTAGTATATTAAATACATTTTGCTACTCCGATGATCTGTAAACTAATGTTTTATAGAATGTTTAATTGTTTAGAATGTTTATTACTAACTTTTTTTATTTCAAAACGTTAAGAATCGTTTTTCTTTTATTTTGTTTTAAACTCAACTTAACTTACCATGAATTTTAAAACAGTGCTAAGAAATAATGGTAATTTCTAACTAATCCCTTACATATTATCCTACAACATTATAAAGTGAAGAGTGTTTAGTTTGAAGTATCTTTATCACTAAAAAGCAACTTTTTATTTATACGAATCATTTAAACAAAACACTCCGTTATTTTTTCTGTAAAGTAATTTCTAAAAGTATTGGACGGCCGTTACGTCCTATTGTGGGACTCCTCAGCAGTGCACATCCACGACCTAGCCTCGCGTGATTTGAACACAGGACATCAGCCTCGCGCGCAAGTGCTTAACCACTAGATCACTGAGCTGGCATTCAGCGGTGCTAATGTCCAACTTCAGCTTACCCACGAAATTGAATGACACATCCACCATCGTCATCGGTGAGTCACGATCTTACAACAAACACTGGTCACTGCTTCTCACTCGAAGTACAGGAGATACCACTTGAAACTGATAGATCCTAGGTTCAAATCACGCGATTCAGGGTCGTGAATGCGCACTGCTGAGAAGTTCCACACTAGAACGAAACGGCCCTCTAGCGCTTCCACGTTTCCCATGGCGGTCTAGCTTCAATTGACTCATGATCTCGACTATTGAAATTACTACAATCTCCACAAAACCCGTTCTGATACTAATTTCTAAAGCAATCGTGATCACCTTACAACTACTAACCTAACCTGGATCAAACTAATAGGCTTAGAGTCTTGTGGCTATAAGAATGCTATGTTTCGAATCACTATAGATCCGTTAATAATCGATTTACAATATAGCAATATTATTCTTCAACACTAAGTGATACGTATCTTACTTCTAACATGAAAGAATCAGTCCTTCATTGGTTCTAAGTTATATTTCTTGGATTCTTGCTGAACCTATTCATGTGCTAAATGACGATTATACTATGGCGCTTACTCAAGACACCATTTCTTTGTATAGCTAGGAGTAGAGAATGTTTCACAGTAGATATGAAAGTATTAATAACTCAAAAAAACTATTGACCCAATATAGTGTGTTATATTATTATGCAAGTAGCAATTATAAGCTAAAATTTCATTTACATTTGAAGTATACAGTTATGTTTTATTTGAGTAATTAACTGATGAGGAAAGGAATATAATTAGATCTATCACCGTATGTGACTGAACAAAAATAACTATTATGTTGTACTAGGTCAAACTTATGTACCCAATTATCAAAGAAAAATAACAGAGAAAAAGATTATATATAGATATCTATGAGAACAAACAAAAGAATATTTTGATGTGAATTAGGACATGAAATATTTTGAAATAAACCCATATGTTCATAACCAGGACATTTATTTAATAGTGCCGTTAAGATAGTATATTTAATTCATGTTTCTGAAATGTACAACAGTCCGGATAAGTACAAATATTTGTTTAAAGAAAAATATTTTTGATAAAAATAAAGAGAGAATTGTAGGTAAATGAGACAGGTCAAGGATGGAAATCAGATAAAAAATATAATTGGGTAAGACAAATCGTATATCATATAAATAGAGAAATAGTGAGTATATTTGCAGGAAGCATTTGGAATAAATAGATGCTAAACTTTACTATATTACTCTAAGGAACACAGATCTGACATTATGACATACTGAAGTTGAATTAACAGTAGTTAAAAAACTGTATCAAATTAACGATTTAATGATGAGTCGTGAAGAAGTGCGAACCTTCAGTGAAAAATCTGATAACAGTACTTAAGCTTTCCAAGCAACTGTCAAAGTTTAGGATTATAAATCATCAGTATCAGACTGTTCTAAACGGCTTGAATAATTCACTGAAAGCGCTATACAATTATATTCGTAATGCCACTGTTTTGTCAACTGTCCTACTCGTTACACATGAAACGGGAACCAATATAATTCCTATAAGGTTACTATGGTCTAGTGATAATGAAAATTTATTGACCTCCGAAAACATGTACGTAACACAATAATATCACTAGTGGGAAAAATACATAGAGTTACTAAAAAAGCACAGCGAATATAGTTCAACTGATTTGGTACAGAGGATATAAATATCACACTGAAGTTCATACATGTCATACTGAACGAATTCCTTACAGAATTGATACAAAATATATTGGCCTGAAATATTATCTTTTTTTATCCCGTGACCTCATAGACACATTAATCGTTTTATGGAGTTTACTAGATTACTATTTTTTTTCTACAGCGTTTAATCTGTTTTATTCACTGATTGAAACTATTCCACAAAACTATGTTTTGATTGACTTGAGATTATTACAATATTATCTCAACTAAATCAAACCTTGTAAATTTCAGTATTTTTAAGGTTAATACTGGACATTAAGTTGAATTATATTTCTAAAGATTTTATTAGTGTTAGCCACTAGTTCCATCCTGTCTATCGTAATATTTTTTGCATAATTTACGAAAAACATCGTTAAGAAATCTACATATAATATAGTAATTAACCAGTATTTAATGAGAAATTGTAATGATTTGAATGTCTGTCTAAATTATGTTCCTTGATTTCCTGTTAGTTTCCTTTTGTAAATGTATTACTTCACTATTTTAATGGACAATAGAAAATTGGAGATTTTGTATTGTTTATTTGAATTATCCCAATGATGTTTAGGACAGCAATTGATCAGTCTCTCATTGGCATGTGTACATTTTCTGTGAATTGCAGATTGTCTTAAGTCACAAACATTATAAGCAAAGATGGTCAGTGGCTAGCGTTGGAATCCAGGACTCACGTTTCGACATATTTGAGACTTTTCTGCTGGACGTACCTACACCTGAGAGTTGATGTTCACCCCGGGGATTCCAAACCAGTACCGTTCGCTCCAAACGCTATCGCGTTATAAACTTCGCTACTGAGTTCTTGTAGCCACCAGCTTGAGCAACGGAATGAATTTTAAATTCATTCTGTACGGTTGGTTTCAATCCTCTCACTGATGTTTAGGACTGCAAGTACATCCAGCTGACGAGTCGAAAGTGCTACGAAACACACGTCCTGGATTCCACTACTAGCAATAACCCATCTTTGCTTACAATACATTTTCGGTTTTATCTTGCCGTGTCTATTTGGTTTATTCTTTGCACTTTTTCAAAGTGCTCTAAACCAATAAATATCTTTTTCTTCTCTTGAGTGAAACACTCACCTAGTTTATAATATGCTCAGATTTTATAAGAAAATCTCATTCAAATAGGTCATAAGATAGATGTTTTATTTAATTTTCTCATTACTTAAAAACAGATTATTTATTACTGTATTTGTCTTATTTTCCTGTTGATGTACGTTCTCTCTCGATATAGTTGTATTGGCTGGGATGACCGTTTAAAGGAGTCAATTTTAGTCAGTGAGTGGAAACCTATTCTCCGATTCAGAGAGAGCAGAATTAAGAGTGTCGACTGAACCGACAGAAAGCGCTGTTCAAATGTCAGCAAACACGGTCACTAGTCATAATCAAGAACTTCAAAATGCCGAATACACACAGAATTAGATTGCTGAATATAATAAAATCCAAGCAAGCAACTAAATTCACATAATAAACAAAAAGAACTTTAAAATCTACAACATCATAATTTTTACAGTCCTTAAATGCAGAAACTCATGAAACTGTAGGTTCACAAAGATAAATGAAGAATTGTTTAGGGATGCCAAGATGTCTCAAATAATACTACAAAAACGTTTTCTCAGAATTTCGTGTATAAGGGGCGATATAACAGGCGAAAAGTAAACCTGATAGACTCAAATTTCATTGGTTTTTGAATGACTCACATAAGCAATGTAAATCAGCCATCGTCATTGCTTATAAATTCTGATCTTGTTTGTTTGTTTTTATTAAGAATTCGTTACAGGCTTATCATTTTTTTGTTGTCTAAAATGACTCATATTGCACTGACCAGCGATTCGGTGTTCAAATACCCGTTCGTTGTGAGATTTGGTTATTTATTTAAAATCTTAGCAACCACTATCCGGTCATTATTTAGCCAAGGGATGGATGACACTAATCCGACAACCGATAAAATTCATACAAATCTTTCGATAATATAACACTCATTTTCGTAATTATAAAACAATTATAAATACGTAATTGATCTCCACTTTTGAAGACTAAGTTAATTAAACTATAACAAACAAAAAAAGGTTTTATAATTTCGTTTAAAAATATCATACATAATAAGAACAAAATGAATAGTTTTAATCAACTTACAAAATACAACCTTGAGGTATCCTGACTCCTAAAGTAATAGCATCAGCAAGTGATAAAACTGTCATTAATATATAAGCAGACGCTGAAAACTTTCGGCATATGAATATACTGAAATTAATAATATTCAATATGAAACCAATTGAACAAATTGTTGTTTGAATAAATACATAAGCAATAGCTACTATATATTGATAATCAATTGATGTTTTATATGATAATTTATTTGTTTGATATGAATTATTATTATTGTTGTGCGAGGTAATTAAGATGATTTCACTTGTATTCATACTTCGTAGATATGAAATTTGTTTTGTTTTTTAGAATTGGCTTTTCGTAAACAATTTAATGTAAAACATTACATTGATTCTATTGTTTTTCCTGAAATTTAAATGTACGAAGAGAATAATAAGCAAAGGTTAGGGAAACAATCATTTTTCATACTGAAGAGAAAAGAATATACTTCCTATTGCAAGAATCATTTATACAAAAAAAATGTCTAAATAGATTTAGCAAAGAAATCTATTTCTGAAGTAAAACTTAAGTGAGAACATTTCAACGAATGTATGATCAAAAATAGAAGTTCGTAATAAGTTAAAGAATCTTTTTCAGTCATCTCTCCATATTAACTTGATGGTCTGAATAAGGTATTTTATTAAGTTACTTTCATAGTACTACAATTCAATGAATTTGGAAATCCATAAAATGAAACGAGACTTTGAAAATTGATACCGTGAAGTGTTATTGCAGTTTGCGTTGGTTAGGTTAGTAAATTTCATATTTATTTTACATATTTTTAAATGGTCATTAATTCATATGTCATTTATTTCCACTTGTACAAATATCTACTTTAAATATTGTTAACGGTGATTAGATGACCTATTCAGTATACAGTGAACTGGAGAACGGTGTATCTATTTCTATTTCTTAATTTGATGTTTGATTATATTTCTTTGAAAAACTTGAGACAGATTGACGGGCAAAACGTTGAATTTACTTCGAATTCATTCGCTGAGATTTTACAAATACATTCTTCCTGTTTAGTGTCTCATATCAACTCGGCGCCCAAATACTGTGGAGCTATTCAATCAAATTCAGACAAAAGTTCTTATATATAATAGATGACTGATTATATATTAAACATCGACCTGTTATTAAAGCTTCTTATAGGGTAAGACTGAATGAACTTAGTGCAATAACATATGATGGATATATGATTTTTTGTTGCTATTGTAAATGTTCTACATAAAAGTTACTTCAAATTGTATGATAAAATAATACAAAGAAAATTAAATATTTTCTTCAAATAGAAATATTATGGCAGCAGAAAAAATACTAGGTAATGAACATACAAGATTCTAAAAACAGCAAGTAAGCATAAGTCAGTACGCAGAGACATGGGTAACACACAAGTAAGATTGAATAGAAGTAAGCACAAAGCTATAAGTAAACCGAATGCCTCACATTTGAGAAACTGTTATTCTGAGTACATCATTCGTTAGTTTACAATAATGAGGACGGACACTACTGAACTTCTATTTACAGGATTATAAATTAGATTAAATTATCACTTGTGGTTCTTTGGTCATATATATTCATCAACCATTCGTTATTCACTACTACTGAATGGTGTTTAAAATCGGAACACTATGTAAACTATTTTTCCATGTTCAGACCAGTGAAAATCAATAAATGGAAGCAACACTACTTGAATGTTGGGCAGGACGTCACCCTGAGCTATGGTTGGACCACTGAGGAGTTTGTTCAACTCTTGGAAGATGATGGCGCAATATGTTGGATTGAATGAGTTAAACCGTCGGAAGACAACCTAATGGTCTGAAGTTTCAGTGTTCAATTCCAAGTGTCAAAAGCTGGTAAGTTTCACACTAGGACAAGACGACCGTCCGGTCCTTCCAGATTATCGGCGGAGGTTTAACTTAGATCTACTAGTGATTTCAATGAAATTCGATAATCTTGGGAATCCCATACTGACAGCCATGTATAGTTATTCAACTGCATTAGTATTGTTTAACGTAATGTATTACGTTTACAAAAAAATTATAAGGAGATGCTTTTTATGCATAGATTTCCTCCAAAATACAACAGCATATTAATAAAATTTACTATCTTTTTGAGTATTTCCAGGTAATTGCCAGAAAATCTTTTGCCTACATTTCGTTCAAATTGATGCTAATCAGGAGGAAACGTTCGAAGACGTGATGCAAATGCTACTCTCTTTTTGATTCGAACCATCATCATACATCTGCATGAGATTCTTCTAAGCGTAATAAAGTTATTCTTACCTATTCCAAAGAGGTGATACAAGTATAGATTTGTAAAATGTAATAAGCGATTTCATATATTTGCTTTATATTAAGACAACATCATTATCCACATACATTCTTTACTTCAAAGTTATTTTATTTCAGTATTCCTACTTCGTTTCAAAAATTCCTTTCATTTATGGCATAGGAAAATTAATAAACTAGTAAAATTACAAGGACTTAAATTCAATTACTTTTTTTTACATAGTAAATGGTTCATAGAACTGGATTTACAGTGAATGCAAATGTAAACAATAATTTTAAATCTTTGTGTTAAACATTTTGTCAACCTAATGTTTTTTGTTTGTTTATTATTTTCTCATGAATGTATCATATTTCATTTCAAACGGGAAAAAAGGTAATAAGGAAGTTAAATTAGTCTTTCGAAAAGCGAAATATCAACAATACATTTGTTATATTTTATTTTTTTCAAATCTGTTGTTGTTTGTTATATCCCGATAAGAATAATGAATAGCAACTTTTGGGATCCATTTATGAACCATTGCTATAAGTATATTTTTCTCGTATAATTGTTATGTAACTAAACTGGTCATATTCATGTCCCTCTTATTATGAGTTTTATTTTGACCTATGAACTATTATTATACGATTTACCATTCTTGAGTTTATGGCCTGTCTATTAATTACTATCTCCCTCATTCACAGCTACTTTTGGCTAAATATTGTACAAATGTTGTTTCATATTTTATGGTACGTTGTGGTCTGTCTGGTTGATATATAAACCGAGTATATTTGAAATAAATGATTCATATTTCAGAGGCTGGAATTAGTGTTCTGGACTTAACTGGCTGGGCTAGACAGGAAGCGAGACCAATCAGGACTCTAGGCTGCTCGCACGTGTTTACGCGTCATTGATCCGATCGATAAGTCTCTGCTCTCTGAATGGAGGTATCGTTGCGTTATACAATAACAAGGCACACAGATTCACAAGTTATGACATTGTCATGGAACATTAAGAAGGTAAATTATGATATGAATTGGGAAGTTAATATATTTTAGAATATTTAAAACTATGATGATAATATAACCTTGTTTTCTTTTAGAAATTTTAATGTTTTGTAACAGTTCACTCTTTATAGATACGTATTACAGATTTAAATGTTTTACGTGGAAAATTTTTATAGAGACCTTAATGGTTATTATTTTTGCCAATATTAGATAAACTGTCAATTTAAATTGCTTATGAAATAAATGACATTATGAAAAAATCATGGAAGGAACTTTTTTGACATAACCTAACAGTCTTATTTAAATGCCAGTTATTAAGCTGAAAATTTTTAAGAATTGGATTAAAGAGATAGATCTTAAAGACTAATGGTTTGTTTTCAAGTGATCAAATTATATGATTGTTTTGTATGAACGCATGGAAATTGCTTTTACACTGTCTGTTAAGTAGTAAATGTGCTTTTCAATGATAAGTGAAATACAAGTTTTTAATAGAGACACACAAAGTGCTAGATAAGTGGGCACTTATGTTATCACAATTGATTGATCACTGGGTGGTGATCAATCTCATGCTTGTCTAGTCCTTATTAGTGCAGATCGAATGCTATCGATCATGTTGCAATGTGGCCACCAGTCTAGGTGACTCGACACTGCGGGCACTATGTATTGAGATTAGATGGTGGTTGGAGATAGTCAACAGGAAACCCTGGACCCGGGTTTCGTGCTACTTGGCACTCGTCAGCAAGGTGTACCTGTAATCTTGAGGGAACTGGTGCTCCCTGGCGGATTCGATCTCGTGTCACCCAGCTTCACAGTCAGAGACGTTACCACTGAGCTATCCGAGCCGTGACTAACCTCCTGTAGGACTGAGATGTAATCACAATTGATTGATCACTGGGTGGTGATCAATCTCATGCTTGTCTGGTCCTTATTAGTGCAGATCGAATGCTATCGATCATGTTGCAATGTGGCCACCAGTCTATGTTATATTCTACACAAATTTTAAGTTTATTTTGATAACATGAATTACATTTCAAGAAAATAACCTATTTTTAGCGTATGTAAACATAAGATTCTATCTGTTGGTTAACTTATCGCCTCCATGGAATGTATTAACTAGTACATTTAATACGATACGAACTTTGATCTAGTAAGGTATATTTTCTAATAAAAAGTTTATATTCGAAGTGAATCTAACCGTTTTGCTTATGTAACTACTGAGTTTCATTGGTAAGATTATTTAAACTGTTTACACCAATTTTTTTTATTCCAGTAAGTTTCTAAATAATGAAACAAGCATGTTTGAAGTAACCGGATTTTTTAAATAATCATATATAAGTATGATAAAATAATCATCAATGATTTAAAGTTTGTTTATGGATACTTTAATTTCTAGTTTTAATGGTAATTCAAGAATTTTCTACACTAGAGTGATAGTACTTTTATCATGATTATATTTCAAAATATATTTACTGTGTTAGCAACCTAAGTAAACAAAACAGGTTCAAATGTATTTGTTAAAAGTTCGTTTTTATTGACAGTTATCTCATTAGAATGAAGGTTAAATAAATAATATCGTTACAGATTTTTTTTTAAAAACTATCAACTAGAATAAAACCTAATTCAAAAATGTAGTGAGTTCCGATCCTTATCAAGATGACTAACGATTCAATAATCCGGATCATCTATTGAAACAGGTGATTATCAATATTGTATTGTATATGCACGTTTCTGACAAGTTGTTTGCAAATCAAAATAGGGAAACTTAGCATCAATAAATAATGTTCGATACACTACTGTAAAACCATGTTATACTTGTACAAGTTCTTTTAAATGATTGATAACAACTAATATGTTGATGTAGCATTCCAGAACAATCTTTTTATGTTATTATTTTAAGTCATTGTGTGCACTATAAATTTTATTGATAGCTTGCTTGCTGTTTGACATTAAATTCAATAAACAATAAATCTTCCTTAATTTTGTGCAGTGAAATGAAGATATAACACAAAAAATTAATTGTTTATCAATCTGTCACAAGTGATTAATGCTATCTTCAGTTAGTTTTCCCATAAAACCAATTGCCTAATC